TATTCTATTCTAACAGTCACTTTAGGGACAACTAAGCTGATGCTCTGCAACCAGATCACTCCGTGATGACAACAACAAAGGAAAATCACAGGACAGAGAAATGTTTCTGACACTCTTTTAAATTCAACAAACTCACCATGGCTCACACCAAGAAGGCTGTAAAACCCTCAGGGAAATTGTTTCTTTGGGGGTTTTTTCTTCCTATGAAATCTGTATTTGTGTGTGTGCAACTTTTTGTGTCTTTTTTTTTAAAGGGAAATTATTTTAATTCACCAACAGTATTATCAGTAGTAATGGGTTCACTTCAAGCCTCAAAGCCTGGAACAATGCACAAATTGAGCACTACTTTGTCTGTTGATACAAATAAAGCTTTCGAGCCCATTCCAAGATCAGAGCTGCCAGCTTCAAACTCTTTAGGCAAGGACAGCACAAAGAATTGGTCTGAATAAGTGCATCCAAAAGGTACACTTGTGTGACTCTGCACCCGCCTGCCAGAGTCTAGGACTAAGTCAGATTACAAAATCCAGTTCTTTCACTTTTTGATCCAACAGGTACCAGAGCAGGTTAGTTATGCAGCATAAGATGAAGTTCTTGCTCCAAATCCTACTTCAAAGTGCAAGTTTCTGGAGTATTGACTACTGTTGACTCTATGCATTATCCTAGGGTCTAACCTACAATATAAAACGCCTTGACACGACTGTTGTTGTGTTTTGGCTGGTATAAATGAAATTGAATTGAACTGAAATTGAATTGTTGACTGATTGATAAAGATATGAGTTCAGCATATGGTATCACATCTTGTGCCTTGTCTTGACTAATTTGTGCTGGAGTGGCTGGGAGTCAGTTAGGCCGGGTCATACTTCAATCCTGGCTGCTCTACAGTTTTTCCATTGGATTTACTTTGAATGCCTGAGTAGAAAAGAGCTAGTTCATTTACCATGCAATACATGCCAATGCGTCTGCTTTTAAAAATGCATTCACTTATTGACTTTATTTGAATAGATAAATATTTTTGTAATAATATAGAATATGTGTCTGTAGGTACTACGTGTGTGTGGTCATCCTCATATATTCATTTCCACTGCTGCTGATGGGTTGTGCTTACCTGGTGGTGGGACTGACACTCTGGGCCAGTGAGATCCCTGGGGACTCCTCTGACCGCTACAAGGAGCAGCTGACTGCCAAACGCAAGGTAACCTGCCTACTGGATTTCACCACTAACGTAATCAGAATATTTTTTGTGCTCTGCAGCCCTGAGTAGGATGTGACTGATGTCTCCTCGTGTAATAAAAAAAAAATCATCATAGCATCACACACCTGAATCTGAGTTCTCAGTCCTTTCTTCTATCTTAGACTGTTTTTTTCTTTCAGACCACTTTTTGCTATTTTAACCAACTGCAGTCTCTTAATCCACTCTTTTCACCATTAGCTCTTCTTCTTGCTCATTAGGTGTAGAAAACCATGACTCCTCCGCGGTAAATTCTTTTGTCACTTTGGTGAGCCACCGTCTTTAACAGCCACTATGAGATCACTTTCATTTCTCCAAAACCTGCTGAGCTAATTGCATTCTCAATAACTACACCCTCAGGAGTTCTTTGTGGTCAGTGCCAAGTTCTGCTAAAGTTTAGCATGCTAGCAGTGCATATGCTAGAGTTGGCATTTCCCTAAAGCACTTTTATTATTGGACTTATTCTACTTCTTACAATTAAAAATATTGTATTTTTCAAAATAGAGAGTGATTAATGTGTCTAATTATCTGTTTATTCTCTCTTAAATGTCAGTGAGCACTGTCTGTTCTTGGCAGCGCTGACGGTGTCTCATGATCTATTATATTTTTATTTTGCCCCAGAAAGATTTCAAAGTAGCTCAGACTTTTCTGCACAAACAAATGTCTTGTTAAAATGACATTGGTGAATGCTGAGTTCTCAGTGGAAACAATCGATGCAGTGCAGCTTGTAATCTCATCATTAAGAGATAACAAATGAAGCCGGAAACTGACAATACCTGCTGTAACACTGTTGTGAGTACTGGTTTTCTGAGACACGTTTTACTGGCTCACTCTCTTATTTGGGGAACTGCTCTCGCTAATCATAGGGAGCCTCAATGGGGGTGTCTGTGTGGATTTCCTCTGGGTGTTAGACAGCATATTGAGTTCATCTATGACTCTATAAACTGAAAATTCTCAAAAGTTACTACACTGTGTAAAATATCGATAAAATCAGAATGCGGCGATTTGCTAATCTCAAAAACTCAAATTTAATTCACTCTAGAACATATAAAACGTATTAAATGTGCAAGCTTTCAATGTCATAGGGCAGGGGTCAGCAACCTTTAACACCCAAAGAGCCACTTGGACCCGGTTTCCACGCAGAAGAAAACACTGGGAGCCGCAAATACTTTACACAACTACATC